TTTAAAAATTTTCAATAAAGAGGCATGTACACCTGATTTTAAGCATACTCAATTTCTGTGTATTTCTCACAAGTAGTTTGTATGAATTGNCAAGCTTTTTAAATACTGCCGAATTTGTACTTTTCTTCGACCAACTCTTCTGCCGCTGTTCATGATAANGATATACTCTTTGGTCGAGATATCACGAACAAGTTTTCCTTTATTAAAGGCTGGCTTCTTAACATCCAAAGTTTGCGACGTTTGTGGCTTATACTGTCAAACCATGAATTCGAGTATATAAGAACCAGAAGACTCTGCCAGGACGAAATAGAACATTATTTTGGTCAAATTAGAAGGGGCGGTGGATTAAATCCAAGAACAACTCCGTGCATGTTCTCAGATCTTTTCAGGCAATCCTGGGGCCTAAGACACGTTAATTTTGTTACAAGCGGTTATTGCGAACCTCTGCGTTTCGCACCCTTGAAAGGGTGTGTAATGATCCTCTGGTTCAAGACTATTCCTGGAAAACCTTTCAAAGTTTACCCAGACCTAACAGATATCACGATATAGGAAACGGTATAGATATTGATGTCGTTGAAAGCTGCTTTCTGCAATGGAACTCTTTTGCATATTTTTGCGGATGTATTTATTTTGAATATTATAAGTTACATACTTGTTTGGAACCATTACCCCAATTTGAGGAAGGAGAAATTCCGGAAGAAGCATTTGCTTTTACTAAAGAAAAGGAATATGACAATTTAAATCGTGTAAAAGCTCCTTCTGGATTCATCGAGTTTCTTGCAAAACTTGATGAATCGTTAAACGAAAACTTCGATTCTTGTTGCCATTTAATTGGGTTTTCAAAAGCTTTATTTGAAAAAATGAGTGCTATAGAACCATATTATTGCTGCTGTAACTGTAATCCCGATATTTTGAAACATCTTTTCATTAGAATCAGAACATATTTTTCTTTAAAAATTTTCAATAAAGAGGCATGTACACCTGATTTTAAGCATACTAAATTTCTGTGTATTTCTCACAGGTAGTTTGTATGAATTCCCCGACTCCGGAATTTCATCTTCTTCAGTTGGAAGATTTTTAGTAGAATGCGCACTCATTTTTTAACACTTAAAATTACTTGTTATTATTGAGATAAATTTCGTTACTCTTTACAGATTTTCTCGACATACTTGTTCACATTTCTCTGGATTTTTGTTATTCATTATTTTTCTTATTAGTCATTTGTAGGTTTAGGACTTACTGTGGGTGCATTTTGTAAATATGTACATATAAAAACAATTGCGATATTTTATTTTATTTAAGTTATGAATTTTACTCGTGCAATTTTTTATGTTTAATAGAATTAAGAACATTTTTTGGTTTTGTTGTATTCTTTTATTGCATGCCTTAAACTTTTTTACTTTAAGTTATGATGGTGAAGATATGCCTCCTGGGGAACCGAACACCTTTAAAAAATCGGTAACGCGCATAAACGCATACCTCGAAGGTGGTGTAGAAAGTGCGTTCCAAAATGATTACAATTGTTTAAATAATTTCTTATATTCTACTTATTCACATTGCTTATATTCACTGCTTATATTCTGTGTTTAATTTGCAGGCAAAAATCAACCGCGGTCCAGCAGCGCATCTTCTCAAAAAACGGCGATACATATTCGGTGAACTAACATTTCTTCATACTGAAGGCACACAGCATACAAATAAAGCAGTGTCAAGTGAGGACTGGGAGAGCAAGCGAAGAGGGTCGAGTGAATAGCCGGACAATTAAATTACATACACAAAACTCTGTATCATATAATTTTTAAATAAACATATCTTTACTATACTAAATACCCGGGTTACATCTAGACACTACTTATTAATTACATTGGCACACTCTTATTTATTCAAATAACTAAACGTTTTTACTGTGCATTTTTGTTGTTAATACGGTATTTACATTAGACGATTTTACAGGCAATTTTAGAGGAGATAAGTTGAGTCAAAAGTTGGCTGGTGCAAGAAATTTAGCAAATGCGCGTAAAAGCATGGAGTAGGTATACGGCTGTGTTGCCGCGATTCTCCAGCATCTTGCCCAAGGAGAATACATATTGGTGGCTATCGCAGAATCCATAGTAGTCCGGGTTTTCATAAAATCTACGAAAAAGCTAACACTTATGGAATTCTTCACTGGATACATCACATATTTGAGTCCATGATTCAGTAGGATTAGGGTTGCTGCAAGGCAGCAGCGTAAAATCTGAAGAAAAAATAAACAGATATTAATATCTTTTTATAAGCGCATTAAACGCGTCTCCCGAAAACTCTCGTCTTTTGAGTTATGACGGTATTTTAGTTTTTTGGTGATATGCAATTTCGGTATCATATAATGGATTTCTTGTTAAATTTTATTAAACTCAGCATAAGGCTGAATGAAAGTTTTTTCGGGCGAAACTCAGAATAAGCCAAAGTGCGAACAGTACTTACCTCTTTTTTGATTCCTTGTATAAGTCTTTCAAATCTCCAATCGTCCAGAAAATTTGGGAAGCGGTCCTCTAAGTGCACAATCAGCATAACGAAATGTGTTCACCAATCGCCTAAGTGACGCGTAGAATATCGTGCCCCAGAAACACTAACAAACGACAAGTGGACTCTCCAATAATTGTCAAACGTAATTGACCAATGTGCATCTATGTGATACGTTGCTTGTGGCAAGTTGGTAGGTTAACGCTAGACCGTAAGAGGTTGGAAATCACATGAACAGCATAATCCCTACATTGGATATAAACAAATTTNTAGGTTAACGCCAGACCGTAAGAGGTTGGAAATCACACGAACAGCATAATCCCTACATTGGATATAAAAAAATTGTTATAAATTTTTGCATTAACATAACCACAGGTGGCGATTGTATATCATGTTTATTTATTTCGTTGGCTATATCTCTGGGCGATTTATTTGTGCCAGCAGTCTGTAGTGCTTTTGCCCAAGGCAAGATACTATTGCACTGATAATAACCAAATTTAGCTGAAGTTGCATTCACATGTGATATAATAACTGGTGTCGGCAAGCTGTGGGAATGCCCAGGAGATGGCGTTTGCTCAGCCCTCATTGCACCGACGGCGGTGGGCACTACTGCTGGCACATATTTTGCAACAACTGCAATGGTTGCAGCGTTTTCTTCTGCAACAATAACCTGCAATGATAAAATGTCCTATAATGTCGACGAACAAAAATATAAAATTGAAAATGACTAACCTTACTCCAAATTGCTAATCGATCCTTTAGCTTCATGTTCTCATTTTCCAACCTTGTGTACACTTCTTCATCTTCCAATTCAATTGATATATGTTCGGAACAGAAAGAAATTTGCATTAATCAATTGTAAATACATGAAATCATAAATTTATTTAATTTTTTGCCATTTCACAAACAAGAAATATAAACTCACCGCGATGCGATACAGAAATAAAAACCAACAGGGCTGCATTTTCTTGGTAAACAACATTTTCCACACAAGCGCTCAGAGCAATCTGATCCGCAAAATTA